CAGTTCCATCCAAATTACTGCAAAAGATATTAATTCATTTCTTTTGTGGCTGAGTAGTACTCCATGGTATATGTATATCACATTTTGTTAATCCACTCAAATTGATGGGCATTCATCTGCTTTTAAAAAAACAGTGATAAAACACAGAACACAAAAGTTACCATCTTAACCATTTTTAAATGTACAATTCAGTGGCTTTAAATATTAAACATTCAAATCATTATGCAACCACCGTCACCATTTCCAGAACTCTTTTCATCTTGCAAAACTGAAATTCCGTATCCATTAAACAATAATTTTCCATTTCCCTCTCTCCCCAACCCCTGACAACCACTACTTTACTTTCTGTCTGTATGAATTTTTTTTTTTAAGAGACAGGGTCTTGCTCTGTCACCCAAGCTGCAGTGCAGTGGAGTGTTCATAGCTCACTGCAACCTCCGACTCCTGGGCTCAAGAGATACTCCCACTTCAGCCTCTCCAGAAGCTGGGACTATCGGAACATACCACCACACTCGCTGTCTCTATGAATTTGACTGCTCTAGTTAACTCTTATAAGTGGAATCATATAGTGTTTGTCTTTTTAAGAGTGGCTGGGCGGGCGCTGTGGCTCACGCCTGTAATCCTAGCACTCTGGGAGGCCGAGGCGGGCGGATTGTTTGAGCTCAGGAGTTCGAGACCGGCCTGAGCAAAAGTGAGACACCCCTCCCTCCTTCCCCCGTCTCTACCAAAAAAAAAAATAGAAAGAAATTAGCTGGACAACTAAAAATATATAGGAAAAGTTAGCCGGGCATGGTGGCACATGCCTGTACTGTAGTCCCAGCTACTTGGGAGCTGAGGCAGATGGATCCCTTGAGCCCAGGAGTTTGAGGTTGCTGTGAGCTAGGCTGATTCCCCGGCACTCTAGCCTGGGCAACAAAGTGAGACACTGTCTCAAAAAAAAAAAAAAAAAAAAAAGACTGGCTGATTTCACTTAGCATAATTTTTTCAAGGTTCATCTATGTTGTAGCACATCTGAATTTCCTTTTTATGGCTGAATAATATTCCATTGTACATATATACCACTTTTTTTTAATCTGTAAATTCATTAGACCCTTGTGAATAATGCTATGAACATGGATGTACAGGTATCTTTTTGAAACCCTGCATCCAATTCTTTTGGATGTACTTTTACTTATTTATTTTAAAAAAATTTAAAAGCCTACAGCACCTGGTATTCCCAGGCGGTCTCCTATCCAAGTACTGACCAGGCCCAACCAATTCTTTTGGATGTATACCCAGAATTGGAATTGCATCATCATGTGGTTTAATTTTTTGAGGAAACTCCATACTATTTCCACAGTGGCTGTACCATTTTGCATTCCCACAACAATGCACCAGGGTTCCAATTTCTACACATCTTCACCGACACTTGTTATTTTCTGTTTATTTGATAATAGCCATCCTAATGAGTATGAGATGGTATCTGATGGTTTTGATTTGCATTTTTTGATTAGTGATGTTGAACATCTTTTCATGTGGTTATTGGCCATTTGTGTATCTTCTTTGGACAAATGTCTCTTTAAGTCCTTTGCCTATTTTTTAATGGGTTTTGTTGTTGTTAAATTATAAAGGTTCTTCATATATCCTGATCATAAACCCCTTATTGGATATATGATTTGCAAATATTTTCTATTATATGGGTTGCCTTTTTGCTGTTGGTTGTGTCCTTCATCTGGCTTTTAATCTAAGAAATAAAAAATAAAAAATCTGCTTAATAAATAAAATGAATATCATTAATCTTCAATTTTAGATTAGAAGCAGTGAAAGGCAGGGATAGGACAGGAAGATAGGAAATGAAGCTGAAGAGACTATGAAGACAGAAGACAGTTATGGAGATAGAGAAAGGCAAACACAAAAATGTATCGTTCTTCATATTTGTGTCACAAATATTTTTCCCTCATTTAATTGCTCACTTGAGTTTTAGTGATATCACTATTGCCTTTAGTAATTTCATTAATTCATTCAAAAAGCACGAATGTCTACAACTATGGTGTTGCCTGCATCCAAGAGGCTTGTATCTTTTAAGGTAGACATATTAAACACTAACGTAGAATGAAACAAGTCCAATAGTATAAGTGTTATAGAGAGGGAGTCTACGTGGAACAGTTAACATTCCAGCACAAGCAGCTCTGCCAGCTCAGAATAAGCTCCTAGTCTCTGTTAGTGGCTTTCCTGATATTCCTAACCACTTCTGGACAGGACATTCTTCTAGGAGTTGAAATTTCTGAAGTGGAAAAGCCATGTCTCTTCCAATCCAGGTTGAAATGCAAAAATGACAAAATATTTTAAAAACAATCAGTAATAAAATTCAAGCTCTTGGCTATAAAGGAACTTCATTTTCAAGGCCATGATGATTTAATTTAGCATAAGTCCCTATCTTCATCCTCCCTCTCCCCCCATGATTTTACCAATGCTTCGTGTTTCTTAGCCATTTCCTCTTTTTTGTTTGTGTTCCTGTTGAAATGAACTTTAGCATAGCTTTTTCAAGACTAGGCAGTCTAATCTGTGGTGAGTGGAAGAAATCACCAAGTGTGGCCAAGTTTTGTTGGAAACCGACTATTGCCAGTGATAGGGGATTTCTGTGAAGTAACTGAATTGAATATAATTACATTTTTAGCTCATTTTTCCCTAGGGCATCATATTCTGTAGCACTTCTGGCTATCGGCACCAGAAGATAGGCTGTTTTGAAATATTATTTTGAGTGGTCAGGTGAGGTTGCTCATGCTTGTAATTCTAGCACTTTGGGAGGCCGAGGCAGGAGGATCACTTGAGGCCAGCAGTTCCAGACCAGCCTGAGCAACATAGGGAGACCCTATTTCTACATAATATACAAAAAATTAGCTGGGAGTGGTGGACATGACTGTACTCCCAGCTACTCGGGAGGCTGAGGCAGAAGGATCACTTGAACCCAGGAGTTTGAGGCTGCAGTGAGCTATGATGATGCCACCGCACTCTAATCTGGGCAACAGAGCAAGACCCTGTTTCAAAACAAAAAAAATCACTCTCCAAAAAAAAAACCCAGAAATATTATTTTGAATGATGTTAACATATTTTCTTTTTTTTTTTTTTGAGACAGAGTCTCACTCTTTTGCCCGGGCTAGAGTGCCGTGGCATCAACCTAGCTCACAGCAACCTCAAACTCCTGGGCTCAAGCAATCCTTCTGCCTCAGCCTCCCGAGTAGCTGGGACTACAGGCATGCGCCACCATGCCCGGCTAATACATATTTTCAATTGTGGATCTAAAGAGGTTCCACATCCTAAAGCAAATGGCAGAACCTGAAATAAATGTTTTCCATGAAACATTTTTCAGTGACACAGTTACTATTGTAATGGAATAGCATTGCAAACTTAGTTTCTTTGTATGTGTAGTGTCACTAGACCCACAATGTAGCTGTCAAGAACCTCTCAAAGCACTTAGGAACTTTCTGTTTCCTAAAGATAAATTTTTGTTATATTCCATTCAGAAGGCACCCCATTCGCTGAGTTTACTCCTGTATTTAATAAGAAAAAAAAGTTTAAAAACAGTGATTTCCCTTTTTGTGCTAAACAGGTACATAAAATACCTTCTTTTAAAAATATATATAAGCCGGGCATGGTGGCGCATACCTGTAGTCCCAGCTACTCGGGAGGCTGAGGCAGGAGGATCGCTTGAGCCCAGGAGTTTGAGGTTGCTGTGAGCTAGGCTGACGCCACAGCACTCACTCTAACCCGGGGAAAAGAGTGAGACTCTGTCTCAAAACAAACAAAAAAAAAATTATAAAAATATATATAACATGGTATTGGTCTCTGGAATAAGAATTTTGTCCAGGAGTAGCTATAATGACTAAAAGAAAAGTTACCACCTTTTGAAATTACTAAATCAAATATCAAAAAGAATTCTTCATTGCTAAATGATCTAACATTACAAATACTCTTTACTTTTACTGATCTGACTACTTTCTGGAAAGACTAAAATTAATGAAACAAATTCATCAAAACTGAGCTACATCCAAGTGGCCATATGCAATTATAGCAACAAGATACTTGGTTGCCTCACACCCATAATCAGGCTTCACATATAGATCTATTGCCAAAGTGGCTTTGGAACTGTTGGAACTCTCCTAACTACCTGCTTTGGCCTGCAGGTGACATGGGAGCTACTCCCTAGGCTGACGCTAGAGATCTGGATTGGCATTCTATGGACAAGCAGGCCCTATGGCCCATTTGGCTGTATTCATCTCCTAGTCTACCTAGAAAGGCTGAGGTGTCTGAGGGGCCAGTCAAAAGGCCCAGCAGGTCATCCCACTCAGTATCAGCACTATTCTGGTTTTTCTGTCAATTCTGGCTTAAAAATGGGGAAACACTACTCACCAGTTACTATGGACCTGTCTTCAGTGCGAAGAAATCATGGCCATGACAGTTTCATAAAAAAAATCTTTATTGTATGATATAAAACAACTGCCTTTACTTTATTTTCCCTTAACCAGGTTACCAAATAAGTTTCCACATTGTGGATGATAGGAAACAATGGTGATTTCCAATCTTTCTATTTTACAGGGCTTTCATTAATGTTCAAAAACAATTATTGGTGAGGATTTCCTGAAGAAGTACAGAAATCTTTTTAGAAGTCAACTTTCATCCTACATACTATATTCCAATACTGGAAATTAGATGAATGATTCTGGATGATTTTTTATCATCTCAAATTTTTAGATCTAAGAATTTGACGGCTTTGATATTGCTTCCTAACCTGGTATAACCAGGCAAAAGATTACTAACTTTCAAAACAAGTTGAAAGACTTTTAATTAATTTAGCACTCTTTTTTTTTTTTTTTAAGCCAGTCAAATTTAGCAGTGGGGGGTTGAATACCAACTTTAGTGACACTAATGTTAATAAGTTCTGATAACCCACTACCATCGGACCAGCCGAATTTAGTACTCTTAAATGGGCAAAGTCCTTATAAGTAGGCAAATCTGCAAGTTTGAGATTTTTTTTTTCAGGTTTAGTTTTAGGTTCATTGTATCTCTCTTTGATGAACATTGCACAGAGATATATGAACAGGCTAACCATATTAGAGCTTCTTAGAGAAAGAGTATATATAGTTTACAACTAGTTTTTTCAGATACAGAAAAAGCATAATTATAATCTCTGTCCTCTTCACAAATTAATGACAAACTCATAATAACCTAATAAAGCTATTTTAACAGGTGCTAAATAGTTCTTATCTCTTATCTATACTCGTGTATTGCTTAAATTATTCACACACTTTTTAGAAGTCTTCTGTGAATTGAAAGCTATAGCTCTCTCTCTTGAAGTTTGTCTGTATTACGTAAGTATTGGCCAGTCTTGGGTAATTCGTTCGTAGCTGCCTGTCTCTGCTGAGTGGTCTTCACAAATCTGAGCAGATTGATGATGGCAGCAGGTGTCACTCCCGGTATACGACTAGCAGCCCCGATCTAAGAATCAAAACCACAAAAGAAATGCAAGTGAGTATGTCAAATCAAATCTATTTTCCTCCTAATAACAAAATGTATAGTGCAGTTTGTAAAATATCTTCATAATTATATATTAATGTATTACCATATAAGTAGATAAAGGAAATGGGATTATTATTTATGTCTTCATTTTACAGATGGGAAATTGAGGCTCAGAGAAGTTAAAATGACTAGTGCAAGATCACATGACTAACAGATATTAGAGTACCTACTTTTTCTTTTCATTAAACTAAGAAAAACTGTAATAGAGTTCCTTTCTTCAAATATACATCCATAGTCCCTTATTTGAAATTCTTGAGGTCATATGATTTTCTAATAAGGTGTATATACTGTACATAATGTAACATTTCCAGTGGTGTGTGGGGCAGCACCCTCCATTTTTAATTCTATTGTTATTTCTGCAATGTTATTTGTACAGTGAAATGTATGAATATTCACTGTAAGTGGTATAAAGACCAAATAGCCTCAAGTCAGTTGAGATCAGTTTTGCTACTAAATAAGTCTGTGGCAAAGTCTGTCAGAACTTTTTGTATTTTGGAATTGTGGCTAAGGGGTTCTGAACTCCTATGACCAGTGCTGTCCAACTGAACTTTCTGTGATGATGGAAATTTTCTGTAACATTTGCATCGCAATAATGCAAGGTCCAATATGGCAGCCACTAGTCACATGTGACTCCTGGGTACTTGAAATGTCCCCAGTGAGACTAAAGAGCTGAATTTTAAATTTTATTTAATTTTAATTAATGTAAATAACCACAGTTGGTTAGTAGCTATTGTGTTGGGTAGAGCAGCCTAGAATTATCCATAAAAACATAACCTAAAATCAATAGGAAGGGGTCAGAGTCATAAAATTTAAGGCCTACTTGGCCTGGTTTCCATAATGACTACTGCTAAGAATACCATGTTATATTGATGAAGTCACTCCTCACTGTAAAAATGTTTTTTTCCAAACTTTTTTATAGACCATATTTTTGTAAAATTCTCCTTTATTTTATGAACCACTACTAAGAGAAATACTGCCCATTAAACTTGACATACCTCAATTTTTAAGATATAACCCAATTTTAGACATGTTACAGTGTGGAAAAATATTTATCTCAGAATCAATACATATAGCCTATCAGTCTTAAAATATTTATTGGAAGCCCAATACTATATACTATATAATAAATGAAGGGTTTACACATACGAATGTGCGCATGCACACACACGATTAGGCTGAAACACAGAGTGGGGGAACTCTTTGGTTCTCTTCTTCCTCCCATTCATTCTCAAGACAACACCATGAAACTCACAGGAAGGGATCCAAGTAGTGATTTCAAAACCACTAATGTGCTACTATCTTTCAACACAGTGTGGTTTCTTTTAAGCCATGCATACTAGTTTGTACAGATGGTTTAGCACATGGTTGGGACAAGAGAATAATTATAATCAAATCAATTTTTGACTTCCAGTTATTTATTTATTCTAAGATTTATGCTCTCTCATAGGGATATACCAACATCTGTCATACACAGAGATATAGGAAAATCTAAGGTAAAATTTCTTATGATTAAATAATACAGTTAGATGACCATTGTAAACCCCAGGTTTAAAAAATTAAAGCACCAGATATTTATTTATAACTTGTTCCTATTCTACTGCCTGTTTTCTTACTGTCTGTGGACGACTGAAGTGCAGTTTCTCTCGAACTTCCTGGGACAAAGACACATCCCTGATAGACAAATAATCTAGGTCTCTTGGTAGTTGGAGAGCTTCATCTCGCTGAACTTCCTTTATTTCTTGTAGTTGCTGGAAAAACGCTGATTCATAAGTGGCTGATGAACAAAATTAGAATTATGTTATGATACCTAGATTATACTAACAACTTACATTTATATAGCCTTTTACAATTTACAAAGAGCTTTTGGGCTGGGCACAGTGGCTCACACCTGTAATCCTAGCATTCTGGGAAGCCAAGGCAGGAGGATTGCTTGAGCTCAGGAGTTCGAGACCAGCCTGAGCAATAGCAAGACCCCGTCTCTACTAAAAATAGAAAAAATTAGCTGGATATGGTAGTGCGTGCTTGTAGTTCCAGCTACTTGGGAGGCTGAGGCAGGAGAATCGCTTGAGCCCAGGAGTTTGAGGTTGCTGTGAGGACGCCATGACACTCTAGCCAAGGTTACAGAGCGAGACTCCATCTCAAAAAAAAAGAACATTAGGTGGGGAGAATGTGACCAAAAAAAAACTGTTTTTTGACTAGGAGCTCTTTGGTACCACTTACTTGAAATGTGCACACAAATCACCTGGGGATCTTGTTAAACGGCACATTCTCACTCAGTGAGTCTGAAGTGGAGCCTGAGAGTCTTCATTTCTAACAAGCTTCAGATGTTGCAATGTGGTTACCTGGCGACCACACTCAGATGGCACAGAGGATAATACTATGCTGGTCCTACCATAACAATGACTCCTCCTGGCACATAACTCTTAATGGATCTATTGTCTACTCATAACTTGCACAAATGGAAAAGAGAGTATACAGGCTATAGGCATCTCAGGTAAAAAATTATTTTCTACCTTCTATTTTCAGTCTTGCAGCTAGCTCTCTACATTTAGTGTACTTCTTTAAGGGGTCTGGAACAGCCTTGGCTAGTAACTCCATGTCAACTTCCTCATACTTCAGAACATCCAGAGCTCTGCAAATATATAAAGTTTTATTAACATAAGGATCCATATATGGAATAATGCCAAATCTCAGAATAAATAATAACAAAAGATACTCTTAATTGTTTCTAAGTATACTGAGCAAATGTAACAGCATCTGCAAAACAGTAGGACCTCAACAAGACATTATTTGGTTCTCTCCACTCTCTTATCAGGAGAATTAAGTAGTTGGTAAGGGTGGAATGTCAATAATCCATTGGTCCTCCCTTTTGTGTAAGGACAGAATATCCTCTAACAAGGGGTTGTCAGATTCCCCAAGCACAGGCAATGTGCTTTTTAAAATCTACACCATGTTAAGTTCTAGTGTTCTGTGAATGAATCATCCTTTGCATACTGGGAACCATGAGTGAGGTTTCCTGCTTTCTTTTGCAGAACTCCCTAAGGAAGACCAAGAGGCTCTTGTGAGCATGTTTGAAGTCTCCGCAAAACAAACTGATAAAAATGCCATAGGAGTTCTTATCTTAGAACAACTCTCATTAAAAAAAATACGATATAGGAGTTCATAAGTATTCTTTCAGTCATATTTTCACCTAACATGCTATAATCTCCATTTCAATTTTTACCACATGGGAATTTTTTTTTTTTTTTAATTTGAGATGCGGTCTCCCTCTTGCTCAGGCTGGTCTCGAACTCCTGAGCTCAAGCTGTCTTTCTGCCTCAGCCTCCCAGAGTGCTAGGATTACAAGTGTGAGCCACTCCACCCAGCCATTCTCCAGCTTTATACTAAAGAAAACAATGACTAAATGACAGCAATGCTGGGACACCTCTTACTTTCCAGGCATCATAAAAACAAATGAGTACTCATTTGAACAAAATGAGCTATAGCATTAGTAGACTCTCCAAAATGTATGGCACAGTCAAGGCATTGGACAGAAAATAACCATAAAAAATACTTCGGCTTCTGGGCCGGGTGCAGTGGCTCACGCCTGTAATCCTAGCACTCTGGGAGGCCAAGGCATGAGGATTGCTCAAGATCAGGAGTTCAAGACCAGCCTGAGCAAGAGCGAGACCCTGTCTCTACTATAAATAGAAAGAAATTAGCCAAACAACTGAAAATAGAAAAAATTAGCCGGGCACGGTGGCGGGTGCCTGCAGTCCCAGCTACTCAGGAGGCTGAGGCAGGAGGATTGCTTAAGCCCAGGAGTTTGAGGTTGCTGTGAGCTAGGCTGACGCCACGGCACTCTAGCCAGGGCAACAGAGTGAGACTCTTGTCTCAAAAAAACAACAAAAAAAGCAAAAAAAAACTTCGGCTTCTGATTTATTTCCTAGTTAACAACAAAGATGCTCCAAAGCTAATTTCTCAGAGTATTTTAAAGTTGTTTTGCAAAGGACTCTTCTGGTGTCTGGACTTAATCTAAAAATATATACTCGAATAATAAGGCAAAGGGAAAGTCTTTTTTTTTCTCTGTATTGTTCCAGTTTTAGTATATGTGCTGCTGAAGAGAGCACAGTTCTTCCATCTTGGTATTACACACCTCCGCTCCCAACTTGACCTCAGCCCCTCCCCTAAGGTAGACCTAATAGATACCTTGTTACTCTGTTAACTATTACTTACTTCATTTGCATGTGGCTTTTTTGGGTTATAATTTGTTTAAAAGGTTATCGCCATGGCATATTTTTATAGAAATAGAAAATGTCATCCTAAAATTCATATGGAATCTCAAGGGACCCTGAATAGCCAAAACAATTTTGAAAAAAACAAAACAAAACCATGACTAGAAGACTTATATTTTTTGATTTCAAACACATTACAAAGCTACAGCCATCAAACCTGTGGGGCTAGGCGTGGTGGCTCATGTCTACAGTCCCAGCACTTTGGGAGGTGGAGGCAGGAGGATTGCTTGAGACCAGAAGCTAGGCTGATGCCATGGCACTCTAGCCCAGGCAACAGAATGAGACTTTGTCTCAAAAAAAAAGAAAACGTGTGTGTGCATGTATGTGTGTGTATGTACATGGATATGCATTTGTGTATTCCTTCTGTTAAAATGCTTTTCATTATTTCATATCCTGTGTTAAAAAAAAAAAATGCCTGGCCGGGCGCGGTGGCTCACGCCTGTAATCCTAGCACTCTGGGAGGCAGAGGCAGGTGGATCGTTTGAGCTCAGGAGTTCGAGACCAGCCTGAGCAAGAGCGAGACCCCATCTCTACTAAAAATAGAAAGAAATTGGCCAAACAACTAAAAATAGAAAAAATTAGCTGGGCATGGTGGCGTGTGCCTGTAGTCCCAGCTACCTGAGAGGCGGAGGCAGGAGGATCACTTGAGCCCAGGATTTTGAGGTTGCTGTGAGTTAGGCCGACGCCATGGCACTCTAGCCCAGGCAAGAGTAAGACTCTGTCTCAAAAAAAAAAAAGCCTGTTTAGATTCAGGTTCAACTTGTCAGTGCTTCACACATAGCCTGGCATGCATGCAGTACATGTAATAGATATATTATGGCCAGATTTTCTATCTTTTTAGCTCTATATGTCTAGGCATTGATAAAGTAAGTTCATTTAGGAAGGTTGAATAACAGACTGCAAATATTCTCCTGAAATCAAATATGTGGACTGTTTCCTCCAGAAGAGGAAGATGCCTGAATTAAAAAGGAAATTATGTGGCCAAATTACCTTTTAAAAAATCACCTAAACAAAATGGCTACTCATGGGATCAGTTTGGTAAAAATATAAAGCTGATAGCCTTCTTTTTCATATTTTTATTCATCAATCAGCATCTGAGACTGTGTTGAAAATGATCACTTCCCCCAATCTCAGTATTACCTCAATACACATTAGTCACATTGAATGCAAGTTCCAAATATATAAATTTAAAGCAGTACAATATTTGATAAAAACAAAGAATAGTGTCATAAAATCCCTGTTCAACTTTTGAGATGTGAACCCTCCCTCCTAAATTTAAACAAATAAACAAACAGCTGTAAGACTGAGTGAATTGCAAACTGTTTACACTATAGCCATTTCTCAGTACCACTTAGCTGGTAAACAAATATATTCACTGCTATGGTCTGAATGTTATTGTGATAGTATTACATAAAGGTGGGGCCTTTAGGTGGGGCAAAGCCCTCATGAATGCGATCACTGCCCTTATAAAAGAGGCTTGAGGGGACTGTTTGCGCCTTCCACCATGTGAGGACATAGTAAGAAGGTGCCATCTTGGAAGCAAAGAGCAAGCCCTTACCAGACACTGAATCTGCTGGTGCCTTCAT